TGATATAAAATAATATTGAATGTCAATTGCAATTGAAAAATAAAATTAAAAAAGAAAGCACCGCTTAGCGTTGGGATGAGAGGTGGGCAGGTGGGGAGGGGCTGCTGTTTTGGGGGACAGAGGAAAAGCACTGGAGGTGCCAGGTCTGGAGAGCAGTGATGGAAAGTGGACGAGGAGGCTCAGATTGTTCTACACCACAGTGTGCATCTGAGTGTCTGTGCCCCTCTGAAACCCAGCATTGAGTTTAGGAAAAGGGAGGAAATCATACCCGTAGGAAGATGAGCGGTTCCAGAGGGGTCCTATAAAGGTGACTCCTGAGAGAATGCTGAGTGAGGGAGTACCCAGCGAGCATCATGAACTTGTAGACATTTTCGAGACTATCCAATAGAAATGTAACGTGAACTACATGTATAATTTTAAATGTTCTAGGTGACACATTAACACATAAAAACATAAAATTACTTTGAATTATATATACAATCTATTAAGTCTCAGATATTTACATGCACATCTACTATATCCAAAATATTATCAGGTCAACATGTAATTAATATGAAAATTATTAATGAACTATTTTACATGTTTTTCCTAAGTCTTCAGATTCTAGCATTTGTTCTATAGTTATAGCCCATCTCAATTTGGACGCTAAATTTGCATCAAAAATACTAAATCTGTATTTAGATTTCATAAACTTTCCAGTAGGGAAAAGCAGATTCACATACCCAAGTTGTTTTAAACATATATAAAAGTTGCTTAATAATTGAGTCAAGCATTATTTTTTTGATGATCCAACATTTATTTAATTCTCCCCCCCAGCTGTACTGAGATATAATTGATATGTAACATTCTATAAGTTTATGGTGTACAATGTGTTGATTTGATACACTTATATATTGCAAAATGATTACCACCTTAACTAACATCTCCATCACATCACATTATTACCATTTCTTTTTTGTGGTGAGAACATTTGGTGATTGTAGTTAATAATATTGTATTACATACATGATACATGAAAGCAGATGATATTTGTGGTTAAAGTTGTTTTACAATCCTGTACATTATAATTATGGAACAATGAAGCCCATTGTTATCTAAACTATCGAGTTTCCCTAGCCTTTATCTCTTCTAATCTCTTTTATAAGTTACTATTTAACTAGGAATTAATTTTTTTAAAGTGTCTATGAAAAAAGTTATGTGTGTACAAGTATATATGTGAAGAATTTCTAAAGAATTTTGTAAAACACCCTTTTACAAAAAGATTTGAAAGTAATGTTAAGAATACAGCTATAAATGCATTCCATGAAAGATCGCAAAATAAAAAGTCATGAAATTCATGCTTTTAGGTTAGATAAGGTTTTCTAGAATCATATATAAGATTGCCACAAGGTGGCGCTAACATCTAATGAACATTCCAGTCTGGTCTTCTCTGGAAGGAGTTGGGGGGTGGTTTTACAGACCTGTAGGAGACACTGGACAAAATGAAGACCGAATAAATGAAGCTGAAGATTGGAGATAGATTAACATCTTTCTTTTGTCTCAAGGATAATTTCCCTCTCTCACCGGTGTGGGAATCTGTCATACAATGAATCTATGGTAATAAAGTTAAATATTAAAAAGATTTGTTCTCATAGACAATCAGTTTTATCCTTGCTTTTCAGTGGGAGTGTACTGGGAAGGGAGGAGACTAGCTGTCACCTAGTGAGTTTATCCTGTGAATGGAGCAGTCTTCGAAGCAGCCAGTCTCCACAGAGCTTGCATTGGACAAAAGTATCCTGGACCCAAAAAATGAAAACCATGAAAAGAAGTTGCTGCAGAACATGGATTCTTCTATTTGTTTACTTTGGCATATTTACCAACTGAATATTTTTAGAATTATTTTGATATTGAGATTCAAGCTTGAAACGCCTCATATATGTGAGAATCAGAAAATGAGTGAATTAAATCCTTCTTCCTGATTATTTTTTAAAAAAATTTAATTGATTTCAGAGAGGAAGGGAGCAGGAGAGAGAGATAGAAACATCAATCAATGATGAGAGAGAATCATTGATTGGCCACCTTCTGCACACCCCCCACTGGGGATCAAGCCCAAAACTCCGGCATGTACCCTGACCGGAACTCGAACTGTGACCTCCTGGTTGATAGGTTGATGCTCAATCACTGAGCCACACCGGCCGGGCTGATTCTTTATATTTCAGTTAAAAAAAACAAACAAACATGTATAACAAACTTTTAATTGTTTGGTTTCTTAAAATAGTTGAAGTTTAAGAACATGGCCAATATTTCCAGCATATGTTAAGACCAAAGAAAGTAGTATTAATAGTACAGCTATAAAAGGTTTTGACTAAAAAAAGAAACATGCAGATAAGAGTTTTCTACTAGGCCAACTGAAAAAGAAAAAAAAAATGTCTCGACTGGAGCCCTAATGAAACTGAGGGTCTTTATGATTTTTTTTATTAAATTTAGCTTTAAACCCTAGCTCTAGAAAGTATATCTCTTTCTATACTCTTCAGAGACCTAGCCTTGCCCCTGGATAGCCAGCAATCCCTGAGGCAGGAGAAGACAGTAGCTGGACTTCATGGTCATAGGTCTGGACCTCTAGTCGGCTAAAGACAACATCTTGACTTAAGCTACGTCTCAGCTCCAGAGCCCTTAGGTGGAAAGATTCCCTGGCTGCTTTCCCATGAAACCAGACAGAGAGATGCTGAATACATGATTTATTACTCTTACCTCATCTCTAACCAATCAGCTCCCAGCACGACCTTGAACCCCCTAACCCACAGGGTCTTATGATTTTGCCCTATATAATCTATAACCTACATGCATCAGGGACTGGATTTCTTTCCCGCATTAGCTTCCCGTTCTCCTGGGTGGTGCCATTCACAATAAAATAGCCAGTCTTTCTTCACTGCAATTCTCAGTGTTTGACTCTGCTAACGCCAGGTGAACGAACGATTTCTGTTCCATGACACTAAACCAATGATCAAAATAACTTATTATCTCCCAGTGGATCCCACTTTGGAAAAATTATTTATTTGTTGACGGTTCAGGTCCTTGGATCTGAAGAACAAAACAAGAAAGCTGGGCACTGTGCGGAGCTAATTCACTGTGAAGGAAGCACTTGGTTCTTTGGATGAGCTGTTCTCTAGGGTTCGCAGCATAGTGTCTTCATAGGCCTGGTTTTCTATCTGTAGTATCCGGATAGAGACCTCGACCCCAGTTTATGAATCAGAGGTGAAAACAGCAGGGCTCAGTTAGGTGATTGGGTTGGATAGTTGTTAATGCAGAGTCTGGAGTTCGAGGTAGGAGACCCCCAGAAAGTTCCAATGGGTCCCAGCATACTTAGGTGAATTCTCCAGTCACTTACCGACGTGTATATACTGTCAGGCATTGTGCTAGGTCTCCAAGATGCTGAGATATGACAGAATCCTGGCTCTCCAACAGCTGCCAGTCTTAGAGAGGGAGGCAGAAAGATGAAGCAATAATGTGATGTCCCTCCTGTGCTGAAAAACCAATAGGCATCCCTCTACAACGGATATAGCCCCACCTGCTCAGTGGGTGCTCTAGCCCCCACCATAGGCCCAACCTGAGTCCCAACTTCCTCCAAGTGCAGCCACACTAAGCTAGTCCCAGTCGCTGAAGTTTGTCCTCCGCTTTCACACCTCCCTGCTTTTGTGCCTGCGGTTGCGCCTTCCTGGTAGGCTCACCCTGCTTCCCCTCCGCCTTCCTACGTCTTCTATCCTTTGAAATCCCTTGACTCAGTCCTCTCCTGCAGGATTCCTGGGATGGATGAATTAAGTCTTAGTGTGCGACTGGGGACGAGAGACCTCACACCCCTCCAGACACTAATTGGCTGAGTCCCCACCTTCAAGTTTCTTCCCCCGGCCTCTTCTTGCCCAGTGGGGTGTCGGTGGTTAAATTTTATTGTACTATCTACTTCTGACACCAGAATCCGAATTAATCATGCAAACCAGGGCCCAGGCTGTCTATTTTTTTTTCCTGTTTCGTAACTTTCTCCAAGTGGACATGAAGTTCTGCATCCAGCTTCACCCTTCCCTTTCCACTGTTCCTCCTTCCCCTAATTTCCATGGAGAGACCCAAGCTGGGGGCCGGGAAGGTGGTAGGTGGTAGGACTTGGAGGAGCCGCGAGGCTTTGAGCTGGTTCACACAGCTCACAGTAATGTCTCCAATCACTGGGTCCAAACCTAGGGCTGCCCCGGGGAGGAACTGGGGAAAGGGGGGTGGGGTGGCCCACTAGACCAGAGAGGGGCTGCTTTTAAAACAAAACAAAACAGAAACACCTTGCTTGGAAACAAACGTGTGTGTGTGTGTGTGTGTGTGTGTGTGTGTTTATATAAAAACAAGCCCTCGTTAAAGGTGCCGCCCTCTTCCCCCACAGGTCCGACCACCCGCTGGGAGTTTGCAAAGAAAGAGGGGCTTTTTGAGTGGGATGGAGGCGTCAACGCCCCGCAAAATGCCGCCTCTCGGCACCGCTCGCCCAGAGCCCGTGGACTCCAGGCAGCCAGCTCCCGGGCCGGGCCCGCCGCGGAAAAGCTGCGGTGAAGAAGGGAACCCGGGTGTCCCCAGCGCCCTGCAGCGCCAGCCGGGGGCGTAGACTCCCCGGTCGCTGCCTCTCCCAGCCCCGCGGCCTGGGCCGTCAATCAAGTTCGCCCGGCCCCGCCTCAGGGCTGCAGCAAACGGCCAATCAGAGCCGAGCTCCGCAGCGATGAGCTCAGTCGGCTCGCTTCCCATTGGGCGGCTATATTAAGAAAGTGGCCGAACTCTTTAAATAGCGGGCGCTAGGGCCGCAGCCAGCGTCTGCCACCGCAGTCTGGCCGGAGTCGAGTTCTCTCCCGCGTTCGCATTCTTGGCGAGGCCTGGAGAGGCCCGGAGGGAGCTAGGCCGGGGCCGCTGCCTGATCTGCGGTTTGCGCACAAAGGCGCCGATTCCGGGGCACCCGGTCTCCTGCCCGTCCTGGGCACTGGGCTGCTTGGCTCTTGCTGCCCGGCCCAGCCCAGCTCATGGCGGCCATCCGCAAGAAGCTGGTGGTGGTGGGCGATGGCGCGTGCGGCAAGACGTGCCTGCTGATCGTGTTCAGCAAGGACGAGTTCCCCGAGGTGTACGTGCCCACCGTCTTCGAGAACTATGTGGCCGACATCGAGGTGGACGGCAAGCAGGTGGAGCTGGCGCTGTGGGATACGGCGGGCCAGGAGGACTACGACCGCCTGCGGCCGCTCTCCTACCCGGACACCGATGTGATCCTCATGTGCTTCTCGGTGGACAGCCCCGATTCGCTGGAGAACATCCCCGAGAAGTGGGTGCCCGAGGTGAAGCACTTCTGCCCCAACGTGCCCATCATCCTGGTGGCCAACAAGAAAGACCTGCGCAGCGACGAGCACGTCCGCACGGAGCTGGCCCGCATGAAGCAGGAGCCCGTGCGCACGGATGACGGCCGCGCCATGGCCATGCGCATCCAAGCCTACGACTACCTCGAGTGCTCGGCCAAGACCAAGGAGGGCGTGCGCGAGGTCTTCGAGACGGCCACGCGCGCCGCGCTGCAGAAACGCTACGGCTCCCAGAATGGCTGCATCAACTGCTGCAAGGTGCTATG